CACTCTTTCTTTGACGCTACCATGCATTCCCTCCGGGACATTGTCAAATTGGATCCAAAAGTTCTTTTTGAGCAAGTCTTGCCTGTATCTGAATGGGGTTTGTTGGAAGCTTGTGGCCTGTTTCCAGGGGTGAGCTGTGACGACCGATGAGTTACAAGTAAAGCACTTGTTCTTTAAAAAGGACGCCAGGGCTTCTTCCATGCATAACACCATGATTACATTCCTTGACCTTGGGTTCAGTCCCTTGGATTAGTTCCAAGCTCTTCAGTTTTTCCCATATCCACTTCAATTTTGCTTGCCTGTCAAGTTGCTGGCTTTTTTTCGCAAATGTGAAAAGGATTGCATGTTTCTTGTGAAACTCTTCTTGCTTGGATGTGAGCTCTTTGGGACATTCGTAGATTACTACTTCCTCTTTGTTGTTTCCTCCTTGGTCGATGAGCTTGGTTGTTTTGATGAGAGTTGTCCTTGTTTGTTCCGCGAGCAAGTTTTGTGTTTCGATTCCCATGCCTTCCATCATGAGACTGGTTCCAGAACTGGAACTGCGCTAGGAGAGGGGACGTTCCGTACTAGGACGGGATGTGGGTTGGACGGTGCTGGCCAGGTGACTGCTGCAAGAGAAGTCGGATTGTATATACGGTCAGTAAGAGCTAAAGGATGGGGTGTTAGTGGGAGGGAGGGACCGTAGTTGTTATAGTTTGGTAAGGGTGATGTTCAGGATGACGATGGAGATGAAATGTGAGTAATAGGACTAGGTAGTAGGATTGAACAATGTTGTAATAGTAATAAATTAATAATAATGTCCGTTAATAATGTTATTCAAGGGGAAAAGGGTGTTTTGGGAACGAAGTCTTGGGTAGGTATTATTGATAATGAATGTTGGGGGGGGGGGGAGATGGGTGCGGGAAGAATGGAAGCGGACAGGGGAACAAATGAAGGCGGAGTGGAGGCAGGGAGGGGACCCGGTGGAAGTGCAGTGGAAACGGAACCGAGCTGGGGAAGGGTCGGGACGGTACCTGGGTAGGGCTTGGAACGGGATCAGTCTGGAGTTGGGATGAAGCGATATTGAGTATGGGTGGAGCCCGGGTGGGATCGTGGATTGGCGCGAGGACGGGATGTGTGTGGGGTGGGTTTGTGGTTGGAGATGAATGGAGAGCGGGGTCGGGTCGAGAAGGGGGCAAGGTGGAACAGGGGTGGGTTGCTTGGAACAGGTTGGGGACGACGAGGTGATCCGTTAAGATCGAGATGGGGTTGGAGGAGGGTCAGTAGGATCGGACATGGGTTATGTTGTGGTCAGGTGGGAACTGGAGTGGAGACGGGGTGAGGGGGTGAGGGGGTGATGGGGTGAGGTGTGATTGTTTCACTGTGGAATCTAGGAAAGATTGGATTAATGTGGGTTCGAGGTGGTATCAGGAGGGGTCAATGTAAGTGTGGCATGTTCCGTGATTGGGTCTAAGAGATGATGGGCTGTAGTCAGATGGGGAATGGAATGGTAGTTGGGTGGGTTATCGATGGTGTTGGAATGGGCGCCGAATGAGAGTGGGATAGATAGCGGGCTGGGACCTGGTGGGGGATGGATTAGAATCGGGGTAGGTACGGGATGGGGGTGGGATCGAGATCTGGGGCTAGCTGGATGTGGGATGGGATTCTGGTGGGATCCTGATTGGAATGGGATGGGGACGGAATTGGGGCTATATGTAGCGGGATAGGATACTAGAGTTGACGGACTGAGATTGGGCTGGGTTAGGGGTGTTGATTGGTTGGGATTGGGTTAGAGTCGGAATGGGTGTGGGTTGAGAGTGGGATGGGTAGCGGGCTGGAGTGAGATTGGGAGTGGGAGATGGGGTGGAATAGGGACGAGATGGAGTCTCGGTATGGTGGATTGCGATAGTAATTGTGATGGGAAGGGGTTGGGATGGATATTAGGTGTAAGCTAGGTGAGGGTGGGTTGGAGTCAGGATGGGAGCCGGTTAGGTAGCGGGCTGGGACAGGTTGGGGGTGTGATAGGAACTGGGTGGGTTCTTGGTGGGGGTGGGGGGAGGGCGATGTGGGGCTGAGCTGGGCTCAAGGKGGGGGCGGGTTAGGGGCGGGATGGGATTGGGGCAGAGGCTGGTTAGGGATGGAGGCGTCCGTTGAGAGAGAGTAGGAGAGAGCAGATTGGGATGACGAGGGGCGGGGATAGAGGTGGGGGAGGTAGTGTGATAGGAACCTGGGAAGGTAGTGCTTGGGGGGGCGTATGTGAGCTGTCTCTTATACACATCTAGATGTGTATAAGAGACAGGGATGTGACTGTGGGTTGGATTTCAAAGGCCGATCTAGGGAAGTCTCGGGCTTTGGGCTCGGAGCTTCTTATCTTGTCGCGTTGTACTGGGGGGTGGACAGGGATGAGGAGTAGGTGGAGGGAAGATGGGCAGAAGCGGCGGGGGAGGGGAAGAGTAGGGAAAGCGGGCAGAGGGTAAGGAAAAAGGGGAGTTTGGTAAGGGACTGAGGAAGGGGGGGGGAGAGAAATCCAGTAGGTGAGTGATTGAGGGTTAGTAGGGAAGTTGTTTGAGATAACTTATCAGTGAGTTGAGAGTTTTGGCAATGGTTTGAAAGACGCAAAGCGGCAGCGTAGCTGGCTCGCCCTGTGATGGCTGTGTGTCCCGGATGTATTACTCGTGTTGTTGACCATGGCACAAATCACAAAGATGTATTACTCGTGTTGTTGACCATGGCACAAATCACAAAGATGGCATGCTCTATGGAATTGCAATTGACATCTCGTGGTGAAGACGGTCTTGATAGGGCCTGTCTCGACCTTGGTGTCCTCTCAGGCCTTTCTTTCCCCTCTTGTGCTTCCATATACTTCGCAGAGACTCCCTTTTTCCGCCCCTTGCCTTTGTTTTCGGCTTCCTTCTTCTTCCTCTTTCTTTCCTCTCTCTCTCTTTCTTTCCCTTCCTTCGTTTCGAATTCTCTTGTTCGTCCGATCTCGTAAGAGAACTCAGAACATGCTGATGGCGATGGCGATCCCGTGGAAGCGAGCGAGAGTGCACGCGAATTGGAAAGCGCGCGTCGAGTTGACGCGCGGGCGACCGACGCTCACCGAGCAGCGCTGGCGCGAATGCCCAAACTTCAACTTCTGGGTATGGCCACCTTCGTTCTAATTCTAGGAAACTTGTATGCGTCAGTCCTTTCTCGAGTTGTCGTGGACGGAACCTCGAAAAGTCATGAGTGCAGGCGTTGCGCTCGTGCACGTGGCACTCCGTTTGTGGCCAGATGGGCTATGGAGAGTCGGGGTAACTTTGCCGAAGTGGGGCGTGACGACGCGCCACGTCGTCACTTTCGAAATTCGACTTTTCGAACACGCGCGGCGCCAACTCGGGTGCGGGGGCCGAGGGCGCGGGCGTGAGAATTAGCGCACCACTGCGCTAACCTTCGGCGCTGGCAATCGCCTCACCCTTGAACCTCCGATTAGGATCCCACATCCTCCAGCATCTGGATTTTCCCAGCAAACACCGCTGGGCTAAAATCGAGCCCAAAGAGGGGAGGCAGACCGCCACAGATTTTGGCCCCCGTAAAGGACGACCCACCGCAGGTGAAGCTCCACAGGTCTCAGATCCAGTCATGGCGGCAACATACGCCCAAGCCGCTCACAGAGAGTTGAATCAGTCCACAGGTGTGAACCCCACCGCCTCCCTGACTTCGAGCACCCCCTCTCAGACCACTTCGGAGGGGTCTCAACGACCTTCACCCACCCTGAAAACGCTGGGATAGAGAGCTATCGATTTCCTGATGAGCAAGACAGAAATAAAAGAAGAAATCATCAAAACAAAGGAAATCATAAAAAACATAGCAGGGAAAGAAACGGAAGTGGAAATCTGGGAATATCCCAAACAGCAACTGCAATCACTGAACGAATTGTACGAAAAACACGCAGTGCTGTTCAACTTCACAAACAAGAACAGGGATCTACCCCTAAACGAAAAGAGGAAGTGGGTCGGGAATAGGTTGATAGAAATGGGAAGTGTTTCGGGTACGGAACCCGAGGTGTCCTACCACAAAAGAGGAAGATGCACGGTAATGTTGCTGTGCGTTGATCCAGCATACGCACAATTTTTAACGTCCCTGGGTTCCCTGAAGTGCGAAGGGTCAGTCGTTACAATCCAGTCATGGAAGCCTCCCAGAGAGCCCCAAGCCGAGGCATCCCGCCACCGTCAAGCGATGCTCATAAACCATTTCTGGGTGCAGTTTGATAACCTCTCCGAAGGTCTACACAACTTCGTACAAAAGAGGTTGCAAGAGGAATACCCCAACAATCCAATCATAGATTGGCTGCCTGCAAACCCAGAGTTCATGGGGCTGAACCATGACGCACGGGTGGCGTGTCTAGAGGTATCGTCAAGAACGCCACCTAAATTCCCTGAAGTCTGCGTTTTCAGAAAAAGTGGACAAAAACTAAACGTTTTTATCCACCAAGACCTACCCGTACGGTTTCAGCTGCAGGAACAGAGGTCATCTTGGTATGCATTGTCCGCTAACAAGGGACACGGCAAGGAAGATCACACTCAAACAGTCAATGTTGGTAGAGTGTGACACAAAGTCGGGGGTATGGTACATAAACGAAGCACAATACAGGGGGTGGCTATTCAACGACAACTTGGAGAGCCCGAGATGGATCTGGGTCCTCCGGGGGGAACCCAAGTTGAAGCCAGATATCTACCCCCCCTACGACAACAGATGGAGGGAAGTAGGGGCCAAACGGATGGAAGACAAATGCACAGGCTTTCTGACAGCACGGGTAATCAACGAGGCAAGCCTGTTTTGATGAAAAACAAAGACTAGATGCAATGAGAGAGTTGCACGAGGTAGGGAAAAACGCAGAGAAAGCATATCTAGAGAACCAGAGAGCAAGAGTCCCAGCAGAAAACCAACAAGATTCGGCCTGCTCAACACCCAGGTCTGTCGCAACCGACAAACAGGAAGGCGGAAGTTTGCGAACAAACGGATCATCGAAACGCAAACAGGAGGACTCACCCAGTGAATCCACGACAAACGGGACCGGAAGACAGAAGCAGAATATGATAGGACTCGCAAGCGCTCTTTCCGCCGAGTGGGGCGAGGGATGTAGCAAGCGCAGTGATCAAACGCCCAGCACAAAGGAAGGGGATGCAAAGGGAACAAAGGGGAACACACCAGCGGGAATGGAGGAAGATCACTCCCAGCAATCAAGCTCTGAGGACAACATGGACTGCTCACAAACAGAGGCAGATAGGGGTACCAAGAGAGCACGATCGGAAAGCGGTTTAGACGGATCAGACACAGATGAACTGAACAAGGATGAGGATGAGGAGGGGGGGAACGACACGGACATGGAAGACGAGAATGACAATCAGGATACCGATTCAGACTCCCGGGACTACGTACAACAGTACGTGTTTTCCTTGGAACTGAACAGATATGTGGAACTGGAAGTACGTCTGGCGCACCACAAACATCTCCGCAACCTCAGATTTGCAACCAAACGAGAGGAGGAAATCACAATGGAAAACAAATACGAGATCCTCAAAAGAGAGGAGGAGATTAACGAATTTTATGCTGCACAATACAGCATGAAGACAAGGGTGGAAAGGAACAAAGTCAAGACGGACAACAGCAACTACGAACAACACTTCAGTTGGCCCAAAGTCTACGTTGAACAGAAAACAGAAAGGAAGAACAAAAAACAGAAAACGGTGCTGGATTTACCTACCGAAGAAGAGGAGCAATAAGACCAAAAATCAGCAGAAGAAGAGTCTGTGGAGGACCTGAGGAGGCAAGCAGCGATCCTAGAAGCACAAGTGAACACATTGAAGGATCAGAATCGGGAACTTGACGACAACTGTCTAACCCTCAAGGACATAGCAGCGGGTGATCGCAAGGAAATCGAAGCCGCAACCAGGGTTGATGCACGCAGCAGCCCTAGAAGGCGCATAATCCTACCTTACCATTGGGACACCCGGTACGAAGCTTGGGAAGTGGCATACCAAAGATCTCCTGCCCTGATCTCTGCCCCGGAAAAAGATATCAACCAACCGACTTTGTGCAACATCATCTCAGACAACGTGCCCACCAAAATGCACATCCTGGGCCCTACGAAAGAGGGGAGGGAGGAATGGAAGGACCAAGACGATGTGAAACAGGTGGCAGACTTGAGACCCTTACTGGTGAAAGTAGAAGAGGCAGACAGTCTGAAAGGGGACCTTTGCTGGGTACCATGGCAAGCGGTTGAAGCCATGCCATATGGCCTGCTGGGAGGGGAGATGGCGGCTGAGAGAGCAGCACTGAGCAGCGCACTGGTCATGACCTACAACATCTTCACCTTGGAGCCAGACTTCCTTGAGAGGAAGCTCCAGACTGACATTTTCACAGGACGGCACATAGCTACAAGGGACACCTAACGAACCTCATCACACCAGCAGACGTAGGGTGAATCTGAGTTACAGACATGGAGGATTTGGGCAGACCCGGACAGATCCTCCATGCAATACGAAAATTCACCCTCCGTAAACCGGAACCTGATCTAAAAATCATCTCATGGAATGTAAACGGTATGCTATCTTTGGTCACAAACCAAAGGAAATGGGACAATCTAATCCATGACACCGGCTGGTTTGGGAAAACTCGGCCAGATATATTGTGTCTCCAAGAAACACATCTGACCACATCGGATGAACACCAAAGAGCACAAACCCAAATACTAAAAAGACTAAAATGGGCAAAGGAAACGATCTGGGCACCGACACCACGTTCCAATTCGGTCGGAGTAGCCATCCTAACCCATGCCAACTCCAGGGCGGCAACTAAGATCGCCAAAACAACGGAGAACATAAATACAGAGGATGACAAATGGGCAAGCTTTGACTTCCACATCTATGAAGAGAGATTCAGACTGATCACGGTATACTGCCCGAATACCCTAACCCAACGTACACGACTAATTGAAAACATTCTACCAAAATGCGACCATAGTATACAACTTATCCTAGCAGGAGAATGGAACGCAACTTTGGACCCAGCAAAGGACCGCGTTTCAGGAAGTACGCAAGGATCGGAACTGACTCGATGGAACGAGGCAACTCCTATCCACGACCTGATGATTGAAAAAGATCTTATTGACCCGCTTAGGATCCTGTACCCAAAAAGTAAGAAGTTCACCTACGTTAAAAGGAACCGAAGCCAACACATCTCGTCATCAAGAATATATTATTTCTTAATCTCAAATGCTCTCATAGGCACTATTCATAGCATAGGGATAGGAGACCTACCCTACTACTCGGGACTAGATCACAGATCAATCACACTACAACTAAAACTAGGATCGTCACCCACCAGAGGCAGAAGTTTTTTCAAAATCAATAACTCGATATTAAACACCAAAGAGATAAGAGAGGCAGTATTAGCAGCATGCATCAGCCACGACCACTCCGATCAGGATTTCTTGGACCTTGTCACAACCATTTCGGAAGCCATCGCTAGGGCTTCTCAAGTACTGGCATCAAAAAGGAAGTCGAGGGCAGAAGAGCTCTGCCAAGCAGTAAGAGTAGCAGAAAGGAATCTACAAAACACACCAGGATGCTGCCTATATGAAACAGTCCTAGAACAAGCCAGACAGGAACTCTCAGATTGGGAAGATTGGAAGAACAAGGGTCTAAGGATGCGAGCCAGAATAAAGGAATGGGAGGAGGGAGAAAAAATGATTAAGTTTTTCTTCAATAAGATCAAAACAAACGCGAGAAACACTATTATAGAAAAACTCCAAACAGATCAAGGCCCAACTTCGGACCCTCAACTAATGCTAGCGACAGCAACGGCCTTCGTCCAGAAGTTGTACACTTCCAAAGAACAAAACCAACCACAACAGGAGACATCTCAGGCTCGAGCGAAATTCCTCGCGCATCTTGATAGGACAATATCAATGGACAAGGCGGGGACACTCGATGCCCCCATTAGCGAACAAGAAGTCTTTGAAGCACTGAAATCCATGAAAGCGAACAAAACCCCAGGAATTGACGGGCTGTCCAAAGAGTTTTGGGTGACTTATTGGCCAGTCCTTGGTAACGAATACTTCCAATATCTGGAAAAGGCCTGGGCAAGAGGGACGTTGGGTGCAAAGCAAAGCACCGACGTAGTCCCCCTCTTATACAAGAAGGGAGACTCGTCAGACATCAGGAATTACAGGCCTATCTCGCTCCTTACGGTCACATACAAAATTCTGGCAAAACTTCTAGCAAATAGAATCAAGTCCATACCAAGGAACTGTTTTCATCTAAACCAAACAGGATTCATACCAGGAATATTCATCCTAGATAACGTAATGACTCTCTCAGAAACCGTAAGATATATACAGGGCAAAAGAATGAATTCGGCAATCCTCTTTTTTGACTTCGAAAAAGCTTATGACCAGGTTAACTGGAACTTCCTCCAACAAAGCATGGAAAAAATAGGGGTAGGACCAAATTTTAGAAGATGGGCCCAGATTCTTTACTCTGACGCTCTAGGGAGAGTACAAGTTAACGGGCATATCTCTCAGCCCTATCGCATGACTCGCTCTGTAAGACAGGGAGACCCCCTTGCCGCCCCTATTTTTTTGTTCATCATGGAAGCTATTGCATCCTTTCTGAGAAAGGACCCGTCGATAGAAAGACTGATAGAGGACAGAACACACGCCTTCAATCTGCCCACCACAATCCTTTTCGCAGACGACCTGACGGTACTTATACGGGCCTCAGACTCCTCCTTTGAAGCACTCACAAGAGCGATGCAAGCATTCCAGCTGGCATCGAAAATAAAAATTAATTGGGCCAAAACAATAGGTTGGTGGCTAATGGACCCACATCTGAACCCACCTCGAAGAACCCCAGAAAGAATGACCTGGAATCGGTGTAACGAACCCCTCAGATTCCTGGGCATCCAGATGTCTAAATACGGCCCCAATCACACAATGCCACCGGTAATAATGAATAGGATGCTGACAAAAATGGGGAGCTGGACGAATGTGTACACATCTATCTTCGGTAGAGCCATGATCCTTAACGCCTCCATCTTCTCAATGTTCTGGTATGCAGCAACTATCTGGAAACCCCCCAAACAACTTAGACACCAACTCAGGAGAAGAGCAGCGGCCTACCTCTGGTCAGGAAACCCTTTCAAGGAACGATTCATATCGAAAGTGGCCTGGAAGTATGTTGTCGACAAAAAATCTAAGGGAGGCTTAGGGATCCTTGATCCTGAAACACAGATTAAGTCCCTACAATCCAAATGGATCCTTAAACTAATCATGTATGATAACTTACCATGGACCCACCTGGCCTTACGGAGGATACAAAAACTAGCCAAATTCAAAACACCGGACAACATGAAAGGTTTGTTTTGGATCATAGCTTAATCATGGGCAATGAGGGGCACAATCAGGACAACAGAACTAAGCAGACGATAATGACTTTTGGTGAAACCTACTGAAAACGTGGAGAGAGATATTACCAGCGAAAGTAAGGGAACCCACAGCCAAGGAAGAAGTGCTCAGACAACCACTCTTCTGCAACCAGTGGATTTTGGACACACAAGGGAAGCCTTGGACCCTAACAGCCAAAGACTCAAGATGGGGCTCGTAGGTAGAAAAAGGGGTATGGCAGATCAAGCACCTATGGCACAACGAGGAATCGAGATGGGGGACAACAGGAGAGCTAAGGGGACAGCTAAAAGGTTGCCATAACCTGCAAGAGAATGCCAACCACATTTTAAATTCAATCCCTGAAAGCTGGTTTAGACTTCTCAGAAGCCGACACTTGTGGAAAGCAGGAGACTGGGCTACGGAGAAGGCCGAACGCCCACCGAAGACAGCCTACTAGTTCCGAACCAGGGAAGGCACAAGAAATGAGTGGCTCATTGCGACATTTACACAATCGAGGACCCAGGTGCATCAACAAGCCTACTAACCAAAAACTCCACAGGGGAAGTGGCCTGGCATGAATGAACATTAAGGAAGGTGAGAGTAATAGAAACACAGGACCGCCAAATTTGCAACTCACAAACCAATATCGAGGACTTGGAGATTGACCCGGCGGAATGGGCGTGGGAAATGAGATCAGGGAGGCTCAACGTAGAAAAATGCACCAACATCCTAGAATACACAACCAAACTAGGATACACATTAAGGACAAGGTCACATCCCATAACCCAAATCGTAGGCCAAAGATGGGAGACACATTTTGACCTCACCCAAAATTGTATCCCGAACATCCCCTGGACTGGATTCCTAAACATCAACCAAGTCAAAATAAGAAGCTTCCAGTGGCTACTCGCCCACCTGGCTCTCCCAGTTAACCAATGGTTGAACAAGAGGAGAAACATTCAAGCCAGGACCCCATTACAAGAACTATGCACAATCTGCCCGGAAGACCGCGTGGAAGACGTGGGCCATTGCCTACTACAC